AGGGTGTGTGATGCGTCCTCCAAAGCTCGCCACGGGCCCGGATGCTTGGCCCTCGTGTCGCACACACGAGGAGGGCACGCAATGGCTTCGTTTGGAACCCTCACAGCTTGAGGATGGCTGAAGGGGACCAGGCAAATAGCACCCAATCCCATCAACCGAGACGATGAAATCGTCAGCTGCACACAAAAGGGAAGTCGGACTCTAACACTTCTGAAGTCCACCCCCGATGGCTGTCGGTATCCTGTCACCTTCGTTGATGCGTAGAGTGCATCCACTGCCAGATGGCCGTGAGTCAGTAGTAGCACTGAGACGCCTCTGCGATGAGGTGGAGACGCTTGAGATCCTCCGGTCGAGCGATGGACAGGGGCTGTCGGTTGAACAGACCTGCACAGAGGGAGGCCACAAGCAGAACCCAGTGCACACTACTCATCGGCACAGCATAGGATCGCCAAGCCAGTGAACAGCACGCTGCTTGACATGGCGAGTGCTCTGATGATCGAGCATCGCATCGCTGTGGCGTTCTGGTCCTTTGCGATTACCTTGGCAGTGTATCTCTTCAAGCGCATATCCACAAACAATATGTCACAAAGGACGACACCACACGAGACGTGTGCAATGTGACATGATTGAGGGATTTACCTGCATCGGATGGGAGACGTGGATGGCTTGGCTGCGTAGATGTCAGTGAGCCTCGAAGGGCCACGCGCACTCAACCCAGAGCCCATCCCATGAATGCAGTGGCTCATGAATCCAGCATCCGATCATGGATGGCGCTGTGTTTGTATGACGGATGCAACAGCTGCCCCACAAGCTGTTCCGCTGCCTCTCAGACAGTCGGTCAGACGATAGACGAGGCAATGTCGAGTGACTCTATGCTGACGTCGATGCGATTGACGCACTGGCGAGACGTTGTCTGCCGATGGACGTTGTCTGCACATAGAGAGAGCGGAGCTGCGGCTGATGCGCGGCCATACGGCCGGCCAGCTGTTGGTGAGGGGACTGACGTGATGGATGAGTAAGTGGAGCACATGACCGAGAGTGTTCCTCGAAGAGGGGAACAGCGGCTCGTCGGGACAGAAATCCGTTGCTGGCACACTCGCTGGGCACTTGGATCGAAGAGGGGAAGTGATTGCTCCTGTAGACGATCCAACTGCCATCGAGTATGCGGCAATAGATGACGTCGAGCTCGGCTTCAAGCCGGTTTTCGTGCCGGATGAAAAGGCTCTTTCTGCCCCACAAGATGGCCGATCGGGCGATGAACAACGTGTTGTCGAGCCTCCGTGCTGACACTTAAGATGTACACGCGCTCGCAAGGTCGTTGTCATCAGCTGAGGCCCGAGGCTGATGTGCTGTCATACGCGACGTGTGGCTGGCATAATGCCGAGACGGCTGAGTGGATGGATAATGCGGATGGTCTTGATCGCGGCGAAAGCAAGTCGCCTTCAATTGATGCGCATCATCCACCTTCAGGCTGCAGGCACCCAACGCACGAACAGCACATAGCAGAATGGCTGAAGGATAGCAAGGTTCTACTCGCGCCTGGTCGATGTGACGAAGCGAGAGAGGCTGTGGCGTTGCTGTGTGGGGGATATGGGGAGTGTGACGAAGATAGAGGGTCGGACGGCAACAGGGGCAAGAGGGCTGGCACGGAGATGTGCTGCTCTGCCTGCTTGGCTGCAGAAGAGACTCCCTACCTCTCACACCACCCACACCTACACACAGCAGACACAGCAGGGAGCCAATAGCAATTCGGTGGCCTGACTAGCGTCATGCCGGTGCCGATATATGGCAGATATTGTGCATCCACCAAAAGCTATCCAGAAGCCAGAAATAGCCCCGATGCAGAGGAGTGGTCTGAAGTGACAGACGCACAACATCGGACAATGCACAACTTGGGTGTGTGCGAAGGTTCCTTACGTGAGCTGGATGCTGAACGAGCGACTCGTGAGAGAGGATGAGTCCTCGGGATGAGTCCTCGAGAAGAAACCAAGGCGACCTGTCGCCAAGGGTTTTGTTGAGCAGCTCCTGCA